AGAATGCTGTTTCATCAGTTCAGTCTCATGTACTTAATTTTCTTCTGTTTCTGTTGAGGTTCGATCTTCCAGATTGAACTCTGGGATATAATACTCAACTCCAGACTTTGTCCCTACAATTAAGTTGCCCATTTTCTTAGCTTCTGAACTCTTATTTCTGTGTGTCTGCATTTAATTTTACTGACATAGCACTCCCTTAAGAACTTCTTAGAGATCTGGTCTGGTGCTGGTAAATTCTTTCAGGTTTTGTTTATCTAGGAATGTTCATGTCTTTTCTTCCCAAATGAATGACAATCTTGCTCGGTACAGAATTCTCGGTTGAAATTGCTTTTCCCTTAATACTTTGAATATATTTTCCCATTCTTTCCTCACTTGTATTGTTTCCGATGAGAGGTCTGCCGTTAGTCAGATCGGATACCCTTTGTAGGTAACTTGCCGATTCTTAGTGTTGAAAATTACAGTTAACTCTGTATTAATTTAACCCTGATCTGGTAACTTGAAGTTGACATTACAATTATTCTCTGTATTATATTGTAGTAATAAAATAGAGCATTGGGTTGAAATTTTAATGATCTCATTTCTAACGGGTAGATCACTTCCATAAATAATTTCTGATATATCTGATTTCTGAGTTTGTTATGTTAATATTATACTTACCTGATACTTGTAGGCATTCCAAAGGTAAAAATAAAATGTCATGACCTTTAAGTGTTTTGAATCTGAAATAGGTGTGTGTGTATATATATATATATTTTTTTTTTTAATTTTACTTATGGCATATGCACTTGCTAGAGAGAGATGCAGTGAGAAATCACTCCCCAGCGGATATGGGCATACCACAACCCCTTCTCCATTCTCTATCGAGATTTCATGCATGCCTCCACATCTACCTTATGTGTTACTTAAGCTGCTGGTTCTGACACTTGAACCACACGGATGACTGAATGGGATCCAACCACTCTAGCCACCATGCCAGGAGCTGGCCCAGGAATGTGTTTTTTTGTTTGTTCATTTTTAATTTTTTGCTATAAGGTATATGTGTTACCAGAGAGAGGAAGAGAGAGAAAGGTAAAGGGA